GCACTCGACCGGCTCTCCGCCCTCGTGACCGTCGGCGACGAGCCCGCCTCGGTGCCGTCCACCATCGAGCGGCTGCGGCGAGTGCCGTACGAACGACTTCTGTCACGCCCGCGCCTCGGCTTGAACAACGCGCGGGCCAGCGCGCCCTGCAACATCTTCACGACCTCCGGCACGACCAGCGCGCCCAAGTTCGTGCTGCACCGCCAGGGCGCCATCGCCAGCCACGCGCAACAGGTGGCCCGCGCCTTCGGCTTCACCGCGCCCGACACGCTGTCGCTGTCGATCCTGCCTTTGTGCGGCGTCTATGGCTTCGACCAGACGATGGCGACGCTGGCGGCCGGCAAGCCCTGCGTACTGGTCGAATCCTTCGAGATCGACGAGATCGCGCGCCTGATCGCGCAACACCGCCCCACCACCCTGTTCGGCAGCGACGACATGTATGCGCGCCTTCTCGATGCCGTGTCGGGCGATCACCCTTTCCCTTCGGTGAAGTGGGCGGGCTACGCCGCCTTCAACGCTTCGCTCGACTCCCTGGCCGAGACGGCGGAACGGCGCGGCCTGCGCCTGTGCGGGCTCTATGGCATGAGCGAAGTCCAGGCCCTCTACTCCATCCAGCCGATGGAATCGGATGTCGCGCGGCGCAAGAACGGCGGCGGCGTGCCGACGTCTCCGCTGGCGCATGTCCGCGTCCGCGATCCCGACAGCGGCGAACTGCTGGGCGTCGGCCAGCCGGGGATGCTGGAATGCGCCGGCCCCTCCCTGATGGTCGGTTACTTCGGCAACGACGCCGCCACCGCCGAGGCCGTGACCGCCGACGGCTACGTTCGCACCGGCGATCTCGCCGAACTGGACGGCCTAGGTGGCTTCACCTTCCTCAGCCGCATGGGCGACGTGCTGCGGCTCTCGGGCTTCCTCGTGAACCCGCTGGAGATAGAGACCCATCTGCAGAAGCTGCCGGCCATCGCCGGGTGCCAGACGATCGCCGTGCCGCGCCCCGAGGGCGTCCGGGCGGTTGCCTTCGTGATCCTCTCCCCGGGGGCGACGCTCGACGAGGCCGCGGCCATCGCGCACTGCAAGCACGGCCTCGCCAACTACAAGGTCCCAATGCGCGTCTTCGCGGTAGACGACTTCCCCAAGACCCCTTCGCCCAACGGCTTCAAGATCCAGCGCGCCCGCCTGCGCGACATGGCGCTGGAAAGGCTCTAGCGGCCACTATCGTTCCGAGCGCAACGAAGGTCCTTGCTGAGCGACCAGCGGACTCCCTGGCGAGCATGCTTGTCTGGCTTTGGATCATCGGGGAGCATTTGCCCCGACGGTCGGAAATGCAATGCTGCCGCTTCGAAAGGGAGAGAAACGATGGCCAAACGCAAGAGCATCAACTACCCGGGCTACAGTCACCAGAACCCGATTCCCAATGCCAGCCGCATCGGCAACATCGTGATGTCGAGCATCATGAACGGCACCGAGCCGGGCAC